CCAATGCAAATCAGTTCCCTAACATGAGAAGTTACTGTGAACCAAAGCATAAAGACACAGACACAGTATGAAGTTAAAGAGATTGATGCAGGGCAGCTTGATCTGTTGGGTATGGTGTTCCTGGGTAGATGTATAAAAATGGAAAAAAATGAGTTTGGTTATCAAGACTACTGTGGCCACGTTAGATACTGAACCATAAGCACCAGTGTGTGGGCACTGGGAAGCTTTAGCAAGAATTTTAGAATATTTAGTGGGACTTGTCTTGTGAACCAATAAATGTTTTTGTCCTCGTAGTAGTCGATTCAGCGGAGGATTTGGTGCCAGAGACTATCGGCAGAGTAGCGGTGCCAGCAGTTCCAGCTTCAGCAGCAGCCGTGCGAGCAGCAGCCGCAGTGGGGGAGGTGGCCATGGCGGCAGCAGAGGGTTTGGTGGAGGTAATACTACTTTTTTGTAAATACGTATTTTTATTGATTTCAGGGAGAGGGAGAGACAGAAACGTCAACGATGAGAGAGTGAGAGAGTCATTGATTGGCTGCCTCCTGCACGCCCCACACTGGGGAATGAGCCTGCAACCCGGGCATGTGCCCTGACCTCCTGTTTTATAGGTTGACGCTCGACCACTGAGCCACACTGGCTGGGTGGGAAAGATTATATTTAATAGCGGATGACTTGACTAATCTCTCTCCTTTTCAAATCTCTCATTAGGTGGCTATGGAGGCTTTTACAACAGCGATGGCTACGGAGGAAATTACAACTCCCAAGGGGTTGACTGGTGGGGTAACTGAACCTACTTTGCAGTAGGTCACCCTGCCAAACAAGCTAATATGGAAACCACATGTAACTTAGCCAGACTATACCTTGTGTAGCTTCAAGAACTTGCAGTACATTACCAGCTGTGATTCTCCACTGAAATTTTTTTTTTAAAGGGAGCTCAAGGTCACACGAAGAGATGAACAATCAGCAGCCCTGTTCGGAAGGTGGTTTGAAGACTTCATTGCTGTAGTTTGGATTAACTCCCCTCCCACCAACCCCCATCCCAAACTGCATTTATAATTTGTGACTGAGGATCATTTGTTTGTTAATGTACTGTGCCTTTAACTTTAGACAACTTTTTATTTTGATGTCCTGTTGGCTCAGTAATGCTCAAGATATCAATTGTTTTGACAAAATAAATTTACTGAACTTGGGCTAAAATCAAACCTTGGCACACAGGTGTGATACAACTTAACAGGAATCATCGATTCATCCATAAATATTATAAGGAAAAAAACTTATGCGGTAACCTGCATTAGGGCTCTTTGATACTTGCAGATTGGGGGAAACAACAAACGTCTTGAAGCATATTAACGGAATTAGTTTCTAATGTGGCAAACTGTATTAAGTTAAAGTTCTGATTTGCTCACTCTATCCTGGATAGGTATTTAGAACCTGATAGTCTTTAAACAAGCCATTCCAGTCATGAGGAGGTGATGTATGAACACATGCATACATTCGAAGCACTGTTTCAAAGTTAATGCAAGTAAACACAGCAATTCCTCGTTCAATGTTTAGGCAGATCATGAAGGATGAGCTGGCCAAATGTGGGCATACTATTACAGGGAAAGTTTAAAGGTCTGATAACATGAAATAAATAGGTTTTTAGGAGAATTCATCTACTTGACATTTTAAATGCCTGCCATAAATGAAATTGAAATGGTAGAATGGCTGACCACAGCAATGACCAGCCCGCATTAGGGCCCGGATGATTTTTGGTCTAATAACGCATGCTAGTGTTGATGTTTTTTGGTCAAGAGGGTATGAACAGGAAGAACTAATGCAGCGGGCTTTCTTTTAAACGCCGATTCACATTACTCTGTTCAAGCTGCGTTGAGATGTTAAACTGGCTTACTATAGACTTCGTAAAAATGGCTCCAGAAGAGGAACTGAAATCTGAGATCACACAGGTTGGAAATATGTACATAACTGCACAAGGTGTCAATTCTGCTCTCCAGTGCAGTTTTAGTCAGTTTTAGTTGCATAGGTTTCCATTGTATTTATAGTCTGTTTATGCTAAATCTGGCCAAAGATGAGCATTGTCCACCACTAAAATGCCTCCGCCACTTTGAATTCTGCGCTAATTTTGTGGCCAGAATGCGGTGATCAAAACGCTCAATCTTTCTACAGTGGCATAGGGAGACGGCAAAAATTTCCTAAAGTGCAATAGATTTTCAAGTGTATTGTGCCTTGTTCTAAAACTTTTATTAAGTAGGTGCACTTGACAGTATTGAGGTCATTTGTTATGGTGCTATTTCAATTAGTCTAGGTTTAGGCCCTTGTACATTTTGCCCATAACTTTTTACAAAATACTTCTTTTATTGCACATTCAGAGAATTTTATATATATGTCTTGTGTGCGTGTCCTTAAACTTCCAATCTTATTTTGTCTCTTGGAGATGGTTGAACGCAGCTTGTCTAGGAAGGGGATGGGACTAGATTCTAAAATTTATTTGGGACCATGGGAGTGATGGTTGGGAAGAAGAACTATTTGCACACGACAGATTTCTAATACTTTTTGCTGCTAGTTTTATGTAATATTTATTGAACATTTTGACAAATATTTATTTTTGTAAGCCTAAAAGTGATTCTTTGAAAGTTTAAAGAAACTTGACCAAAAGACAGTACAAAAACACTGGCACTTGAATGTTGAATGTCACCGTATGCGTGAAATTATATATTTCGGGGTAGTGTGAGCTTTTAATGTTAAGTCATATTAAACTCTTAAGTCAAATTAAGCAGACCCGGCATTGGCAGTGTAGCCATAACTTTCTGATGTTAGTGAAAACAAAATTGGCGACTTGAAATTAAAACATGCCAAGGTTTTGATACACTTGTCTTAAGATATTAATGAAACACTTCAGAACACTGATACGAAGTGTCCAGATTCTCAGATGTTTGTTGCGTGAGTTTTGTTTAGTTGTGTGTATTTTTTTTCCCAGTGAATGTCTGGCACATTGCAATCCTCAAACATGTGGTTATCTTTGTTGTATTGGCATAATCAGTGACTTGTGCATTCAGCAATAGCAAGTTCTACCAGTAAGCAATATTTTCAGTTATAAGGTTTCAAAAATGTAAGAATGGATTTAAACTTGCTGAATGTAAGGATTGAACCTCAAGTCACTGTAGCTTTAGTAATTGCTTATTGTATTAGTTTAGATGCTAGCACTGCATGTGCTGTGCATATTCTGATTTTATTAAAATAAAAAGCTGAACTGCACAGTCTCTTTCGTTGTTGTCAATTGTGGTTTATTATTAGCAGTGACAATAAAGTTGTGCTCTCGCCTGAACTATAAGGTGTTATATTTTTTTTGGTTGCTGTCCCACTAGTTTTGAGATTCCTCTTGCAGACAGGAATAATCCCTTTGGTTAAGTATTTGTAATACAGTGGAAAAGGTTTCTGTAATAGGTGGAAATCTAAAAGGTGTTCAGCATGTATTCTAGATCGGTTTATATTTTAATCAGCTTCAATATGGTTTGAACCTGTTATTTGAAGGGTGGTTGAAGTGGAAGAATGAATTCAAAATCAAACAGTAATCAAACATGGCTAAGGACTGGGGGTCCAAGAATATATTTGGGCTCCGGCCCTTACACCAAGAGGTCACTGGTTCGATTCCCCATCAGGGCACCTGCCCAGGTTGCAGGTTTGATCCCCATTGGGGCACTTCCCCGAGGCAACCAATGTTTCTCCATGTCCCTCTCTCAAATCAGAAACATTTAAAATATGTATTCAGGGTGAGGGTGATAGGCATGGCACGGGCACCTCCATTCCACCTGTAGTTTTTGCTGACGTTTATTATCACACATTGAGGTAGGCAGCTTGCTACCAATTAACCAATGATGGTGGAACCATAACTGAACAGATAATTCCTCTAAGTTGAACTATGTGAGACAAGGCCATGTCTTTGGGTGGCAAAAGTTGACAATATGGTTCAACCTAATGAATGCACATTGGCCTTCATTCCGTGTTGAGTTCTAGGTTTGCAGTGTGATTAAGAACATTTTTTAAAACACTTGCTTCTGGATAGTTGCCTTTTATGGAAAAATTAGAAGCGTGGCCATTGATTTTGGAGATAGGAAAGGGAGGTAGTTGTTCGGTCAAAATAAGTGGAGAGAAAATGGCCACATTGAAAAGATTGGCAGTGGTTGAAGGTGATTCAAATTGAGTGAAATAATTCTAAGGACAGTTCAAGGTCCCTTTTATCTGTTCTGGGGGAACTGCCTAAACTATTCTATAGTTTAAATAGTAAATAACGTATCTAAGTACTATTTACTTGGTTTTACTTCCTAACCTCTCACCAGATAATTTTTTTCAAAAATGTCTTGGAGCATATTTGAAATTGCCCAATGTCTTTGTGCTTAATACATTTTTTTTTTTGTTCTTAAGTGACCTGGTTGGGCACGGGCCTCCCCTTTGTAGCTCAGTGACATATCTGTAGCTCATTGACATATCTGTGGACAGTGGTCTGTCCCTCCTCCACACCTGAATGCAGAGATTTCATTCACTGCAGTTACAGGACTTTGAAAAGTTAGCTTTCTCTTCTGTTCTTATTGAACACGTATCCTGTACTCTGCCTTAGTTTTTGTTTACCCTGTTTCCTCTAATTAGGACTGGAGCTAAATTAACATTCTGAGTGATTTTATATGTTGTACTCAGAATTTATGTTTACAATAACTAGCATTGTGGAGAAAATAATTGCTCTAATAGGTGGAGGAAAGAGTAGGTTACAATTGGAGTACACAGAATGGTCTCAACTACTTTGAAAATACATAGAAGAATAGGAGGAATTTGCCCGGCCGGTTGATAAGTGGTTGAGCATTGACCTATGAACCAGGAGGTCAGGGTTTGATTCCAGTCAAGGGCACATGCCCGGGTTGCCGGCTTGATCCCCAGTGTGGGGTGTGCAGGAGGCAGCTGATCCATGATTCTCATCATTGATGTTTCTCTCCCTCTCTCTCTCCCTTCCTCTCTGAAACCAATAAAAACATTTAAAAACAAAAGATGGCCAAGCAAACCCAGAAGAAGAAAAAAAAGTAGGAGGAACTCTGTTAAAATAGTGACAGTTCCTGTTTCTGGTTGAAATTTTAGAAAGACTTTATGCTTCAAACTTGTACTGAACAGATTTTTCACAATTAGAATATATTTTCTAATACAAAATGTTTTTCTCTTTTTTAGTTGTGGAAATAGTACAGAGGGGTCCTGTACCCTTGGCCCAGTTTCCCCCAATGGGAACATTGGCACAACTAATGCAACATCAAAGCAGGAAGTGGATTTTGGTACAACCACGGATCTTATTCAGGTTTCTCTAGTTTTCCGTGTGTGTGTGTGTGTGTGTGTGTGTGTGTGTGTGTGTGTGTGTGTGTAGTTCTGCGTAGTTTTATCACATGTTGATCTGTGTAACCACCTCCACCAAACTGTTTCAGCAGCAGCAGCAAGATCTCCCGAGGGCTGCCTCTGTGGTCACATCCGCCCCTTCCTGCCTCCTCACCCTGTCACTCACCCCTGGCAACCACTCACTGGGTTTCTATCTCTAAAATGGCATTTCAGAATTGCTAACAAAATGGAGTTGTGCGGTATGCGACCGTTTGAGATTGGCTGTCATTCAGCACAATGACCTTAAGAGCCATTCAAGTGGTTGCAGTTCCGTCTTATTGCTGAGTAGTATGCATGGGCCATAGTTTGTCCATTCACCACTGAAGGACGTTTGGCTTGTTTCCAGTTGTTTTTTTTAATCCTCACCCGAGGACATTTTCCCATTGATTTTTAGGGAGAGTGGAAAAGAGAGAGAAAGAGAGAAATAACGATGTGAGAGAAACACATGGATGGGTTGCCTCCTGCACATGCCCCAACCAGGAACCAGACCGGGGGAGGAGCCCGCAACCAAGGTACGTGCCCTTGACCAGAATCGAACCTGGGACTCGAGTCCACAGGCCAATGCTCTGTCCACTGAGCCACACCGGCCAGGGCTGTTTCCAGTTTTTGACTATTACACATTAAAGCTGCTCTGAACATTTGTGTGCAGGTTTTGTGTAGACATAAGTGTCCATCTTTCTGGCATAAATGCCAGGAGTGCAACTGCTGCGTCCTATGGGAAGTGCATGTTTAGTGTGAGAACCTGCCAGTACTGTGAGAGGTACCATTAGTCTGATGTGTCTGAAGACAGAATCTGCCAAATCCTTTTCCAGAGGGACTAGAATTTTTTAAAAAAATATTTTTATTGATTTCAGAGAGGAAGGGAAAGGGAGAAAGAGAAACATCAGTGATGAGAGAATTATTCATTGGCTGCCTCCTTGCATGCTCCACACTGGAAATTGAGCCCGGAACCTGGGCATGTGCCCTGACCGGGAATTGAATTGTGACTTCCTGGTTCATAGGTTGGTGCTCAACCATGGAGCCACACCAGCCAGGCTGTGTTGTTGGAATTTGTTTTGGCCTAATTGATGGGGAAGTGATAGCTCATTGTGGTCTTAATTTGCATTTCACTAATGACTAGCGATGTTAATCATCTTTTCTTGTGCTTATTTGCTATCCTTATATATTTGGCAGAATATATGTTCCTGTATTGCCCATTTTAAAATTAATTGATTGCTTTTTACTGCTGAGTTCTTTATATATTCTAGGTACAAGTCTTGTCAGATATATGGTTTGCAAATATTTTGTCCCAGTCTATAGCTTGTCTTTTCATCTTAACAGTCTTTTGCAGAGCAAACAATTTTTTTGAAAAACATTTCTAATTTTGATGCAGCCCAATTTATCAACATTTCCTTTTATGGGATGTGCCTGTGGTGTCATGCTTAAGGACCCTTCCCCCTGCCCTACATCCTAAAGATGCTTTTCCTATTTTTTCTAATAATTTTGCATTTAAATCTACAGTCCATTTGAGTCCATTTTTAAGGTGTGAGGTTTAGGTGGAAGTTCCCTTTTTAATCTGTGGCCAATTGTTCTAGTCTTTTGTTGAAAAGACTATTCTTTCTCCATTGACTTGTTTTTGCAACTGTGTCAAAAGTGAGTTCACAACCTGGCCGGGTAGTTCAGTTGGTTAGAGTATTGCCCTGACACGCCAAGGTTACCAGTGCCATCCCAGGCGCATACAAGACAAACCAATCCCTGGTCAGGGCACATACAAGAATCAACCAGTGAATGCATAAATAAGTGGAAAAACAAAATCAATGTTTCTCTCTCTTTTTGCCTTTCCTTCTCTCTAAAATCAATCAGTAAATTAAAAAAAAAATCAGTTGCCTATCCTTGTATGGGTATTTTTGGGTTCTTTTCTGTTTTATTGATCTACTAGAGGCCTAGCACAATTAAATCGTGTGCGTGTAGGGTCCCCTAGGCCCAGCCTGCCATCAGGGCCATGTCTGCCGCCCCGCGACGCCTTTTATGATATAGATGTGCCAATAGCACACTGCCTGCTTCAATTATTTCCAGCCACATAGTAAGTTTTAAAATTGGATAGAGTGATTCCTCCCAACTTATTATTTTTCAAAAATGGTTTTAGCTATTCTAGTTTCCTTCCCTTTTCATATAAATTTTAGAGTAAGCCACAAAAAAATCTTGCGGGATTTTGATGGTAATTGTGCTGAACCTGTAGGTCAGTTTGGGGGAGAACTGACATCCTCACTATGTTGAGTCTAAAGCGTATTTTTAAGTTGTAAACTCAGACTATCCAGCAGCAGGGATACCTGGCACTTCCCACAGGGAGCACTCCTGTTTATCCGTCCTGGGATCATGCTCCTCCTCTGAAGTATGTCCATGGAGCACCTGTCTCCAGGAAAGGCCGCATTTTGTGAAGGAAGTTCACTCAGGAACATATTAAGGAGTCCAGCACTAGCTGGTGTTACTCAGTGGATAGAGCGCCTGCCTACAGACCAAAGGGTCCCAGATTTGATTCTGGTCAAGGGCACGTACCTTGGTGGCAGGCTCCTCCCCGGTCCCAGCCCTGGTCAGGGCTTGTGCAGGAGGCAACCCATCGATGTGTTTCTCTCGCATCAATGTTTCTCTCTGTCTCTCCCTCTCCCTTCCACTCTCTCTGAAAATCAATGGAAAATATCCCCGGGTGAGGATTAACAAACAAAACAAAAGGAGTTCAGCTGCTGGCGATGGCAGCCGAGGTATTTCAGGCCAACCCTCCTGCTGAAGACAACTATCAAAACGCACAAGTAGCATGAATCTGCGGGCGCTCCGGTTCTGAGCCTGCGAACAGCTGGACGGGCTCCCATGAGCAACAGAGGCAGAGGTTCCCCATGAGTCAGATACATCAGTAGCTGCCTGAGCAGGAAATGCACTGCTCGGCTCACCCAAACTTAGGGGCACCTTACACTCTTCCAGTTTGTTCTTCCTGAAACTCATTCTGAGAGTGCTTGGCAGTCTGACTTGAATATGAATTCTCAGCATGCACTGGACTCAATTACCATACTGTCCCAGAATTTTAATAACACAATTTTAATGTCAATTTTCATCCAGGAGCTGTGTCCTTGGATTGCACTGCGGGGACTTCCTGTAGAAGGTCTTTAATTGCCAAACACAGAGGCAGAGCCTTCTCCTTCACAAGATGGCACGGGGCTGCCAGGGGTAATTTGCATTCCCATTGGTTTTGTGTTTTTTTAAAAAATATATTTTTATTGATTTCAGAGAGGAAGGAAGGGATTGGGGAGAGAGATAGAAACATCCATGATGAGAGAGAGTCATGGATCGGCTGCCTCCTGTATGCCCCACACTGGGGATCGAGCCCACAACCCGGGCATATACCCTGACCAGGAATCGAACCCTGACCTCCTGGTTCATAGGTCGACACTCAACCACTGAGCTACACCAGCCTATTTTGTGGGTTTTGAAGAGATCTACAGAATTAACAGTATTCCTTTTTTAAAAGTCAGTCCATACTGAGCTTTCTTTATATACATATATTTTTAAACTTATTGATTTTTATCCATTTTGAGTTTATCTTGGTATGTGATAATGGTTTATGGATGCAGTATTTTTTTTTTTCAATTTGACCCAACTGCCATCTATGGAAATACCTGTCTTTTCTGTACTGTTAGTTAGGGTAAGGTTAAAGTGTAGCAAAGAGGCTCTGAGATACAATGACTCAACTAAGAAAGAAATAATTTCTCTTACCTGCCATTTCAGAATTCGTGTTCCCAGGCCAGTGGGTGACTGTGGCCCTGCCATTCGGGATTGAGGCTCCTTCCAGTTCATTTCTCTACGATGAAGGCAGCAGTTCTCAAAATGGTTCCTACCCCAGGAGGGTCAGCGTTGCCGGAGAACTTGCTAGAAATACAAATTCCTGGGTTCCACCCAGACCCGCTGACTCAGAAGCAGCAGAGAAGGGTGCAGTGATCTGTATTTTAACAAGCTCCCCAGGGATTCGCATGCGGTTGAGAACCGCTGATCAAATCAGCCTGCGTTGCAAGGGGGGAGGGTGCTCAGAGGAGGTGCATGTCTTCCTGTGTCAGTGCGGAAGTGGCACACATCACTTCACTCATACGCCATCTTGGTAAAATCTTGATCACATGGCCATGTCTAGCTGCAAGGGAGGCTGGGAAGTGTAACCTAGCTGGGCACATTCCGTTATTATAAGAGAAGGGGAGAATGTATTTGAGAGGATTACTAACAGTCTTCACAGCCAACAAGGATCAGATACAAAACTCCCATCGCGCAAAGGGGCTTCTTTCTGGAATTTCTCCTGTGTTCACTGGCCTTCTGGTTCATGGGCTAGAACCACGTAGTTTTCATTATTGAGGCTTTGAACTATGTTTTAATATCTTTAATATCTAGTTCTCCCTTCAGTGCTCTTTTATTTAAAGTTTTATTTTTGCTCTTCTTGCTTGTTTATTTTTTAAAAACAACATTTACAATCATTTGTCTAGTTATAAACATTTTGGAGGGTTTTAAAAATATATTTTATTGATTTCAGAGGGGAAGGGAGAGGGAGAGAGAGAAACATCCATGATGAGAGAGAATCATGGATCGGCTGCCTCCTGCATGCCCCCCACTGGGGATGGAGCCCACAACCCGGGCATGTGCCCTGATCGGGAATTGAACCATGACCTCCTGGTTCATAGGTCAAGGCTCAACTGCTGAGTCATGCCAGCTGGGCATGTTTTTGTTTGTTTTTTAAAGATCTTGTGTACTTCATGTCAAGTTTATTCCAAGTTATTTCTATTATTTGTTGCTATTACAAATGGAATATCTTCTTCCTTATATTGTCTAGGATGGGGCAAAATTAGATTTACAGTTGTGAGTACTCGAAACAGTTTATTTTTGTATTATTATTATACGAGAGGCCTGGTGCACGAAATTCATGCATGGGGGGGTTCCCTCAGCCCAACCTGCACCCTCTCTAATCTGGGACCCCTTGGGGGATGTCTGACTGCCGATTTAGGCCCAATCTCACAGTCAGACATCCCTCTCACAATCTGGGACCACTGGCTCCTAACCGCTCACCTGCCTGCCAGTCTGATTGCCCCTAACCCAGCTGTGGGAAAACTACAGCCCGCGGGCCGGATCCGGCCCGTTTGAAATGAATAAAACTAAAAAAAAGAAAGACCATACCCTTTTATGTAATGATGTTTACTTTGAATTTATATTAGTTCGCACAAACACTCCATCCATGCTTTTGTTCCGGCCCTCCGGCCCAGTTTAAGAACCCATTGTGGCCCTCGAGTCAAAAAGTTTGCCCACCCCTGCCCTAACCACTCTGCCTGCCGCCTGATCTCACCCCTAACTGCCCTCCCCTGCCGACCTGATCGCCCCTAACTTCCCTCCCCTGCTGGCCTGATTGCCTCTAACCGCCTCTCCCTCGGCCCCTGCCAATGTAGCTTTGTCCGGAAGGATGACCGGACGACTGGAAGATGTCCAGTCTATCTGGTCTAATTAGCATATTACCCTTTTATTAGTATAGATATTAATTATTTTATTTCCATAAAAACAACTGTAACCTGGCTTTTGTCCCACCCTGTATGTTAACTATTGATTTCTTTATGTTTTATTTTCTGCTACTTTACTGAATTCTCATATTGTTTTTGGTAGTTTCTCAGTTGAGTCTCTTGGCTTTTCCAAGCATACTGGTTACATTTTCTGCAAATAATAATAGTTTTACTTCCTCTTTTCCAATTGGTAGACCTCTAGTTTATTTTTCTTGTGTAATCGCTTCAGTTAGGATCTCCAGTACAATGTTAAATAATTGCTAATTCTTCTGGTGTTTTCCATTAAATTTGATACTAAAATAATGTCAAACATGTTAAACATGTTAAGGGTATCAATTCTATTCATATTTTGAGTTTTTAATCAGGAATGGGTGTTAAATCTGTCATATACCTTTTCAGAATTTGAAGAAATATGATTTTTCTCCTTAGATTTATTTATTTATTTATTTATTTATTTATTTATTTATTTATTTTAAAATATATTTTATTGATTTTTTACAGAGAGAAAGGGAGAGAGATAGAGAGCTAGAAACATCAATGAGAGAGAAACATCGATCAGCTCCTCCCGCACATCCCCACTGGGGATGTGCGCGCAACCCAGGTACATGCCCTTGACCGGAATCGAACCCGGGACCCTCCAGTCCGCAGGCCGACGCTCTATCCACTAAGCCAAACCGGTTTCGGCGATTTATTAATATACTTAAGTATTTTAATAGTTTTTCTTCTTTTTAATTTTTATTTATTATTGACTTTAGAGAGAGTGAAAGAGGGAGAGAGAGAAACATCGATTTGTTGTTCCACTTATTTATGAATTCACTGCTTAATTTTTTTAAAATATATTTTTATTGATTTTAGAGAGGAAGGGAGAGGGATAGAAACATCAATGATGAGAGAGAATCATTGATAGGCTGCCTCCTGCATGCCCCCTACTGGGGATCAAGCCCACAACCCAGGCATGTGCCCTTGGCCAGAATTGAACCTGGGACCCTTCAGTCTGCAGGCCGATGCTCTATCCACTGAGCCAAACCGGTTTCGGCATTGCAAACCCAACCATTTATCGTCACCACTGCTAACAGCCTGGGCCAAGCTGGCTTCCTTTCTCAGCTGCCTACGGTGACAGCGCCGGAATGGCCTCCCTGCCAGCCTCCCATTCCCCGGGCCATCCACTGTGCTCCTACCCACCATCCTGCTTTCCATCCAGCCACCTCCTTTCCTAGCATGGCTGCCTCCTCCTCATTCAGCCCTGAACTCAAATGTCGCCCCTCAGAGAGGCCCTACCTGACATTGCCAGCTAACTTCTCTAATGTCAATGTCAAGGGAGCCCTACAGGGAAGCTGTGCAGCCTCGGACAGGTGGGTCACTAGCTGTGGCAGATACAAGCTTCCTCATTCTCTTGATGCTCATATATATTTATTTAAAATATTTTTAAATTGACTTCAGAGAGGAAGGGAGAGAAAGAAACATAATGATGAGAGAGAAGCATGGACTGGCTGCCTCCTGCAGGCCCCACACTGGGGCATGGAGCCCATAACCCGGGCCTGTGCCCTGACCAGGAATTGAACCGTGACCTCCTGGTTCATAGGTCAGTGCTCAACCACTGAGCCACACCGGCCGGGCTTGATGCTCCTATATCGAGGCCCAGCCTCCCTATTGTCTTCCTACCAGGAAAGGACCTGCAGCATGAAGCCACTTTCACATCCTCGACCAAGAGAATGCCACCCCCCGACTGTCCTTCAGCAAATGCCTTCATTCTGAGTCACAGCTTTCCTCACTGAAGCAGAAACAGCAGTCCCCGCCCTATGTACTTTCTGTGACAATTAAGGGAAGATGTATTTAAAGTGCTAGTCTAGCATTCTGTGGTTTCGATGGACATAGGATAGTGGACATACAACTGTCACACACACACACACACACACACACACACACACACACACAAACTGCCCCCCCATCCTTCCATTACTATCCCACGGTAGGAAGCTCAGAGCCACGGGAACTACTCCTTTGCCACCTCCCCCCACTAGCCTAAGGCCGGCTCGTGGTTTTAGAACATCGCTCACGTCTGCAGTTCTCCCTTCCTGCTGTTCAGCCTGGACCACAGAAACAGCCGCCTCCCTTCCTCCCTCACTAACAGGACCCCTTTGGTTCTGGATGGGGTGCTAGGGAAGACTTTTCTCCCAATTCCCGTCCAGGGCATGTAGGTGGGAGCCCCTGGGGTGGGTGTCTCTTCCCACATGAAACCTCACGAGACTTTTGGCTCTACTGCTTTTTCCTTTCTCCCCCTCCCCCTCCCCCCTCCCCCCTCCTCCTCCTTCTGTTTTTTTAATTTTTATTTTTTAAAATATATTTATATATTTTATTGATTTTTTACAGAGAGGAAGGGAGAGGGATAGAGAGTTATAAACATTGATGAGAGAGAAACATCGATCAGCTGCTTCCTGCACACTTCCCACTGGGGATGTGCCCGCAACCAAGGTACATGCCCTTGACCGGAATCGAACCCGGGACCCTTCAGTCCACAGGCTGACGCTCTATCCACTGAGCCAAACCAGCTAGGGCTCTTCTTCTTTTGTTTAATCTTTACCGGAGGATGATTTCCCATTGATTTTTAGGGAGAGTGGAACGGAGAGGGAGAGATGGAGAGAAATATCGATGTGAGAGAAACACATGAATTGGTTGCCTCCTGCATGAGCCCCGACCAGGCTGGGGAGGACCCTGCAACCAAGGTACATGCCCTTGACCAGAATGGAACCCAGGACCCTTTGGTCTGCAGGGTGATGCTCTATCCACTGAGCAACACTGGCTAAGGCTCTACTGTTTTTCTCTCTCCTAGAACTTGGAGCACAAAGCCCAGAGGTGCAGAAACTGATCTGTAACCATGAGGACAGAAAGCATATGCTGACAGTGGTGGGGTAGAAAGATGAGCGAGTCTGCATCCTAGATGACCCGGTGACGCCGGCACCCCATCCTGAGCTGGGACCTTTGGACCTCTCAGCACGTCTCTGTCTCCATCCGTTGGGCTGTCTATTCTTGCAGCTCTGTGGTAGGTTTACATTTTTTCACGCTTTTATCAAAATGTTGAAGTGTTCAGCTATTATTTCTTCAAATATTTTCTCTGCCCTGTTCTCTCTTTCTTCTCCTTCTGGGACTCCACAGCACACATGTTGGTCTGCTCTGATGGTGTTCCACAGGTCCCTTATGCTCTGTTCACCTTCAATCTCTTTCTTTCTGTGTCTCAGACTAGATAACGGCCACTGTTCTGTCTTCAAGTTTGCCAATTCTTTCCCCTGCCTGCTCATAGCTACCTTTGAATCCCTCTAGTAAGTTTTTCAGCTCCGAGTTTTCTATCTCTTGATGGATATTTCCATTTTGCTTATACATCGTTTTTTATTTTCTTCATATCATCTTCCTTTGAGCATCTTTAAGAGAATTGTTTAGCTTTGTCTAGCAAGCATGCCACCTGATCTTCCTCAGGGATGCTTCTGTTGTGGGTGTGTTTCCCCCCTTGAATGGACCATATGTTCCATTTCTTTGTTTGCCTTATGATTTTGTTGTTGAAAACTGGGTATTTCAATCTAATAATGTCGTGACTGGAAATAAGATTCTCCCCCTTCCCTGGGTTTGCTGATTTTTGCTTTTTGTTTTTTGATTGCTGTAAGCTGTGCCTGTGCCAGTGACTTTATACATACCCCTGTGTCTGTGGTTGCTTTTGAATGTCCTACATGTCTGGCTCTTAAAAGGGGAAATAAAGAGTGATGGGAGGGGGAGGGGGAAGTGGGGAGGCGGGGGAGAGGCAGAAAAAGGGTGCTGGCCCTTTAAATCCCCTGGACTTTGATTTAGTTGGACAGGGAGGGTCTTGCAGTAGTAGGAGTGCCATAGTGCAAAGATCAAAACCAGAAGTTTAACCTTGGTATGAGGATAGCCACTAAACTATGAACCTAATTCAAACGTCACCATTTTCTTCACAAATGTCTTTCTGCTTCAGGATCCAACCCAGGATTCGCCATTGCATTTAGTTGTTCTGTTTCCTAGTGTCCCAGTGTCTCTCCGTCTTCTCTTTTCTTGATGTCCTTGTGCAGTGTCTCTTGATTTGGCACATTTTTGGCAAGAAGACCGTGGAAGTGATGCTGTGCCCCTTGCATCATACTGGGGTTACAGGTTGTCAGCGCGTCTGACTACTGGGCGTGCTAACACCGGTCATTGGCTCAGGTGGCTTCTCCACTGCAAACTACGCTCGCCCCTTTGTCATTAACAAATATCTTGGAGGCCATACTGTGAGACAGTGTGTTTATCCTGTTTCTCTTGTCTTTTGCTCACTGATTTCAGCATCCATTGTAGATGTTGCCCTTGCTGGTTATTACTGGGCTGTTTGTATTTCTCTCATTCCTTCTACATTTATCTATTTATGTTTTAAATATATTTTCATTGGTTTCAGAGAGGAAGGGAGAGGGAGAGAGAGATAGAAACATCAATGATGAGAGAGAATCATGGATCGGCTGCCTCCTGCACACCCGCTACTAGGGATGGAATTCGCAACCCAGGCATGTGCCTGGAATTGAACCCGGAGCCCTTCAGTCCGAAGGTTGACGCTCTATTCACTGAGCCACACTGGCCAGGGCTCCTCCTACATTTTTTAAAAACATTTAATCACCTTTATTTATTTATTTTTTGTTCGTTTGTTTTTGTTAATTCTCACCCGAGGATATTTTTCCATTGATTTTTAGAGAGAACAGAAGAGAGGGAGAGACAGAGAGAAACACCGATGTGAGAGAAACACATCGATTGGCTGCCTCCTGCAGGAGCCCTGACCAGGGCCCAGGCTGGGGCCCGAAACCAAGGTACATGCCCTTGACGGGAATCAAACCCGGGACCCTTTGGTCCACAGGCTGATGCTCTATCCACGGAGCCACACCAGCCAGGGCCTTGCATGTATTAAATGAGATTCTTCTGCGAGGAAGAGCTTCCCTGCTCCTCATTATTTATTATTCAGCTCCTTGTTACTATCAGTGTGGACTCCTGGACGGGTTCTAATCCAAGGCTGTCATTGATGTTGTTGTTCCACTCGCTCTAATTCTGATGGCTGGAAGCGCCTTCAAGTGAGCGCCTGTGCCCCTCCAGCACTCTCCTCCGGTTCTGCAAGAGCGTCCTTATCTTCCTCATGCAGATGATTCGGGGGAGACTGTTTAGTGAAGAGACTGATGACAAAGGTCCTGGCAGGATTGTGGAACTTAGCGGGGGACACTGAGGCATGAGGGACTAGCAACAGGGGAACCTATGAATCCCATCGGCCCACAGGTGCAGGCAACGGGCCTGGAGTCTGGGGAGAGCCGAGCCGTGAAAAGGGGCCCCTGCCCCCTGGGGTCAGGATGGTGCTACCTCCTGGCAGAGTCCCTGTGCCCTGTCCACATGGCTGGGCAGGGAGCTGGGGTGGCAAGTGGAAGGTGCCGCGCTTGTGGGTGTTTTTTTGTTGTTTTTTTAGGTTCTGGTTGGTTTCCAGGGCCATTTCCCAAGCGCCCACATTCTGGGCAATGCCCTGGAGTCGGAGGACTGCGGTGCCAGGTGCAGTGACGCCAGTTCCAGGCTGGAAACTGCCCCGGGAGAGGGAGGGCCGACCCGTCAAACTGGGTGGGCAGGAGCCTGGAGGAGCAGGAGGCCCCACTCCTTGGTGCTGGAGGCGGAGCCTGGCCCCGCTCCAGCTGCGAGCACCCGCCTGGGCTGGGGGAGGGGGGACCAAGGGTGACCCCCATTGACCCTGAGCAAGCAGGTGCACCTGAGCTGCCCTGTGGATTTCTCCCGCCCGCTCTGGTGCTGTTTCTTTTTAAAAAATTACATTTTTATTGACATCAGAGAGGAAGGGAGAGGGAGGGAGAGAGAAACATCCATGATGAGAGAGCCATGGATCGGCTGCCTCCTGCACGCCCCACACTGGGGATGGAGCCTGCAACCCGGGCCTGTGCCCTGACCGGGCATGGGACCCTGACCTCCTGGTTCCTAGGTCAGCGCTCAACCACTGAGCCACACCGGCCAGGTGAAAGCTCTTCTCCACAGAGACTCTCTCCCCAGGACACGGTCAGCTGGGGTGAGGCCAGCCTCGCTCCCTGGTCCTCAGAGCTCTGGAGGATTTCTTCATGGAGTTCTCTCGAGTCTTCCAGGCAGAACCAGAGGTCCCCCCGCCCCCGCCTGGGCCCTGCTCTGAGGCCGGCAGCTTGGGGCAGAGTCCCGCAGCCACGCGCACTGGCTCCAGGGGTGGGAGTCTGCGGCGCGGGTGACTCACTCTCTTTCTGGGAAGGAAAGGAGCAGAGGTTCCAATGGGCGGATTTCTTCATGACGGAGACGGGGATGGGAAGGGAGCACGAGAACACACAGGCTGGACAGCACTCCGCCAAGCCTTGGGCAGCGGCCCATGAGGAACCCATTAGTTTTTCTATTAAAAAAACCCTTTTTTCCAAAGCCATAAATCCCATGTCCCAGCCAGGGGTGCAGCTCCAGGAAGCAGGAGACGGGGCTGCGTGGCTGAGCTGCGGGGACGGTCGGTCACTGACACTTTACTCTCAGGGGCTATTTCCATGCCAACCCATTTGGAGGATTTGCTGTTCTTTATGGGGCAGAAGGGAAACAAAGCCAGTTCCTGTGTACAGCTGTCGCCCTCTCTCTTTTGCTTTAAAAAATATATATTTTTTTATTGATGTCAGACAGGAAGGGAGAGAGGGGGAGAGAGAGAGAGAGAGAGAGAGAGAGAGAGAGAGAGAGAGACATCAGTGATGAGAGAGAATCATGGATGGGCTGCCTCCTGCACGCCCCACACTGGGGATGGAGCCCACAACCCGGGCCTGTGCCCTGACCAGGAATCGAACCCTGACCTCCTGGTTCCTAGGTCGATGCTCAATCACTGAGCCACCCCAGCTGGCTCTTTTGCTCTGTAACTGACACGTGGTGACCCTAGGTCAGTCCTCCCTGTGACTCGAGGATAAGCCAGGGGACAAAAAAAAAAGCCAGGTCTTCACACTGAGCGCCACCAGCTCCCCGTGATGGGCGAGGCAAGAAGAGAAATGCCTGCAGGTGCAAGGTTGGGAAAACCTTCCTCCCCCCCTCCCCCCCCCAGCACCGAGCTCTGAGCAGCTGGCTGCCTCTGCCGCCCCCTCCCCCAGCCCCTGCCAGCAGCTCCGCCTGGATTTGCAACCAAGTCCCGGAGGTGGGGCTGTGACAGGAGTTCAAAGCCCCCCGCCCCCCACATCCGCACACGTCCGTCCTCACCGCTGGTACAAGCCTGTGCCCGGGGTCATGATCGCTTCTGGGCGGGCAGTTATTTCAGGGGGAAAGGACGCGAGTTTGCTGTGTGAGTGCAAACATCGCCACACCTCGGCCTCAAAGGTCCTTCCAGAGAGAAAGGGTGGAACAGCACCAGTCGCAGGCGCCCGAGCCTCCGGAGGTTTGGGTCAAATGGAAACTTGTTCCTTTCAGCCCCTTAAAGCCACTGGGTTGGGATGGAAACCACGGCTGTCCTACTGGGAACCAGAACTGCCGGGTCAGGCGGGAACCTGGTGGCCTCGCCTGGCCCATCGGCCACACCCTTCCGCTCCCACCTGAGGACAACAGCTACCCAGCGGCCCAGAGGCCTGCGATGATCTAATGTGAACTCCACGGCATCCTCCTAGGGTGGGGAATAGATACAGCCTTATTTTTTTTAACTGATCAGCACTGTCCCGGGAAGCTAGACCTCAATAGCAACTGCAAGTGTGAGTCAGGACCTGGGTCGGTCTTGGCCCTGTCCCCATACCAGCTCCCTCTTCCTGAATATCTCCTAGCACCCAGCTTCTGGGGCCTTTAGTTTTTGTGTGTGTGTGTTTTTTAAGTTATTATTATTATTTAAAATATTTATTGTTGAAAGTATTACATATGTCCCCCTTTTTCCCCCATTGACCTCTTCCAGCCTGCCTACCCTTCCCCACCCCTGCCCCAGGCCTTCACCACCCTATTGTCTGCCTCCAGGGTTATGCATATATGCACACAAGGTCTTTGGTTGATTACCTCCCCTGCCCCCCCAACCCCCCAACTCCCTGTCCCCCATCCCCCCACTCCCTCCTTTCCTCCAAGATTCCACACTCTGTTCCATGCTTCCATGTCTCTGGATCCACTCCATTCATCAGTTTATTTTGTTCATTAGATTCCACATATGAGGGAGATCATGTGATCCTTGTCTTTCTCTGCCTGACTTATTTCACTTAGCATGATACTCTCCAGGTCCCTCCATGCTGTCTCAAAGGGGAAGAGATCTTTCCTTTTTACAGCTGCATAATATTCCATGATGTAAATGTACCACAGCTTTTTATCCACTCATCTACTGATGGGCACTTGGGCTGTTTCCAGTTCTTAGCTACTGTGAGTAGCGCTGCTATGAACATAGGGGTGATTACATTCTTTCTGGTTGGTGTTTCAGGATTCTTAGGATATATTCCTAGAAGTGGGATCACTGGGTCAAATGGCAGTTCCATTTGTAGTTTTTTGAGGAACCTCCATACTGTTTTCCATAATGTCTGCCCCAGTCTGCATTCCCACCAGCAGTGTACTAGGGCTCCCTTTTCTCCACACCCTCGACAAATGACATTTGTCATTTGTTGATTTATTGATGATAGCCATTCTGACAGGTGTGAAGTAATACCTCATTGTCGTTTTAACAGCTCAAATGTCCATCGACTGATGAATGGATAAAATGTGATTTATCTGTACAATGTACAATGCAATATTATTCATTAATTAAAATGAATGAAGTTCTGACACAGGCTACAACATAGACAAGCCTTGAAAACATTCTTCTGAGTGAAGAAACCAGACACACAGGAATACATATTACATGATTTCACATGTATGAAATGTCCAGAACAGGCAAATCATAGAGACAGAAAGTGGATTAATGGTTGCCATGGGCTGGAGGAGGGGAATGGAGAGTGACTGCTAATAGCTATAGAAGCTCCTTTTGGGAAGATGAAAATATTCTAAAATTAGCTAGTGGTGATGGTTGCAAAGCTCAGTGAATAGACTAAAAATCATTGACTTGTACACTTTAAAGGGTGAGTTTTATGGCATGTGAGTTATATCTCAGTCAAACTGTTACCAAAAAATACATATGCCTGGGTCCACTCTCAGAGATTCTGGTTTAGTGAGTCTGAGATGGACCCTGGGCACCTGCCTTTTTAGTCAAATACCCTAAAGGTTGGGGAGGGAGTGGTTTACAAGGAAGCTTATTGTAAGGACAGAAAAAGGCCTTTCCTTTTCTTTGCAGTGGCCTTCCACAATTGATGAGGAACCCCTGGTAATTAAACCCCAAGATTGTTGGCTCCTTTGATTCCAACAGCCCCTCTGTTCAAACTGCAGGATCAGATGAGCTACTCTCAAGGCTACATTCTTGCATCCTCCTCCTCCCTGCTGTATTCACAACTCAGGGGTAAGTCCCACCAAGGAGTCTCTAATTAGTAGAGTTTCCCTATCCCTCCTTTCAAACAAGCCTCTTTTGAACTCTTCATAACTTTTTTTCTAAGCATGTTTTACATTCTTGGGGAAGATACTGATAAGATACCTCCCTAGAACATCTGCCAGACTGCCTCCTGGAAAGCAAACTGTAACATTTCAAGACAATCCCCGGCATTTGCTCAACTCAAACACTTATGATACCACTTTTGTCTCAGGAGCTCAGCCATCACCAGAGAACCACAGGCACCGTTGCACACCCCACCTACCACGGCTCTTTATTCAGTCCCACTCAGACTCACACCTCCAACTTCAGGACTCTGATGATTTATTTTACAGATCATTGACGGTCCAGACCAAGGGCTATGGGGAGCCCAGACGTTGGGTTGTAGAAACTTCTGGCTCCATGCAGAGAGGGACCCTACCCCTGCTCTGAGTCATGCTCTGTGTCCTCATAGGCTGAGTGGCGCCTTCACAGTGCTGGTGGTGGTGGGAGGCATGGGGCCTGTGGGGAAGGAGCCTGTGGGTGAACCCAACAGGGGCCCGGGGAAAGGCATCAGGTGGCTGACAGGCCCTGACAGCACCACGGGGCCCGGGCCTCGGTAGAGATGGGCAGTACCAGGTGGGCCCAATCTCAAGCCTGAGGCCACTTCCCCACAATTCCCACCATCGCTGCCCCCAGCCACCACCATGAAGCCACCAGCCGGAGCCTCAGCTGGTCCTGTGCCTCCCAGGCTCCACACTGGCTTCTTTTCTTTCTGTGATGGCCTGGGTTTTCTAGACTTTATACCACCCTTCTGCACGGTCCGTGGTTGGTTCACCTGATGAAAGAGAGGCCATGAGTGTTCCCCAACCTCAGACTTTTGCCTCTGTGTCTCCAGCAGGGACACCCTTTCCACCCCACTCCTTAAGAGTCGGGAACTGGGTCAAGGACTAGGGGAGCAGGCCCCAGCTGTGGCACAGATAATGCCCTAAGGAGTCATGAGCTTGTGAGGCCCTAAGCAATGGAAAGGCTGAGGGAGCCTCTAGCCATAGGACTAGCTGATGGCTGCAGGGGAGGAGGAAGGAAATGAGAAATGGAGGAGAGAGAAGGGAGCAGGAGGGAAAAGACAGGCAGGGAGGAGATGAAGGTGCAGAGAAGAGAAGGGTGATAGGGAAGGAGGAGGGAGGAGAATAACAGGGAGAAGAGAGGAAGGGAGATAGGAAGAATACAGGAAAGGAAAAGGAGAAGGAAGGCCAGGTTAGTGGGATGGGGGTGCAGGGGGGAGGCTCCAAGAGTCAGGGCACACCTGGCGTCGCTTGTAATAAAGGCTGCAGGCATTGCACACAGGGTCTCTATTGGCATTCAGCCGCCACACTGCCGTGATGGTTGTCTGGCAGTTGGTGCACTGGGCACCTGCCCGCTTGCTGACCTTCTGGGGGCAGCAAGAAAAAAATGAGGGTCAGTGCACTGGTGGGTGGAGGACCCAGGAGGTGAGGGTCAGGGTGCAGGCAGGGCTGCCTGGACAAGGCATAGACTGAGGGTGCTCTGAGGGGCGAGGACATGGCCTCCTGTCCCGGGGCTTTCCAGATGGCGTGGGGTGCTTCATCAGTGGTTCTCAGCGTTGGCGGACATTGGACTCACTTGGGGAGTCGAAAACAATCCTGATGCCCAGGCAGCGCCCCAGACCAAGTAAATCAGCCCATCTCGGGAGGGCCCCACGGTGATCCCAGTGTGTAGCCAAGGATGAAAACTGCTGTGCAGGGAGTGGACGGCGTGCCTGCTTGCAGCCCGAGGGTGGGCTGAGGGTAGACACTCCTGTACAGAGCTGGGTCCCTGAGTGGATGGGGCAGGGAGGGGGGATGTGGGTTCTCATAGAGTGTGAGGGCAGAGATCCCTGCCCGGAGTGAGAACAGAGGACCTGGGGGAGGGGAGGCCGGCCTGGGCTCTTACCCGGCGCCTTTGGGGCTTGTTCTGCCTAGTCATCGTCTGACCCCCGGCATTGCACAGGTGGCACTGTGGAGCGGCTTTCGCTCTGCCGGACTTTCGCTCTGCCGGACTTTCGCTGTGCCTGGTACACATGCTGTCACACCGTCTCAGAACCACCCTGCATGGCGCACAATCCCAGGACTCTGGTGATGTGGACAGGGGGCAAGAGGGACCAGGCTCAGCCCAACTTTGCCTTGGACCCCATTCCCCTCCTCAACCTCCCTGTCCCTTTGGGGGAGCCTCACCACAGGTGGACGGGGGCAGGGCTCCTTGGAGGCTGGGGGAGGAATAGACCGCTGGATTGGGGGGGCTTCTGGTTGGAGGAAAGAAGCTCCTAGGAAAGTCGGGGGGCCCGTAGGCACTGCTGGGGACAGGGATGGAGGAAGGCACCGCAGGCCCCAGCGCCAACAGGTCCGGACTCAGTCGCTGTGTCCTGATGTTCTCTAGGAAGGTGCCTCTTGCATAGGAATCTTCTGAGGCCTGGGGAGGGGTGTACTCCCAGGAGGGGCTCACAGTTGCGGGAGGGTAGAGCCCCGTGCTGCCATAGGCCCAGCTGGTGTACGGTGAGCCTCCTGGGGTCCCCTCCAGACAGCAGAGGCATGCATTAACCTGGAAGACTGTTTGGGGTGTGGGTGGGTATGGGAAGGAAGAAAGAAGGGAACAGAAGGTCTGAAGCCATCCTGCTTTCAGGATGCAGTGATTCCCAACAGCCCCACATGGTGGCCAGCCTTCCCACCTTCCCATCGGTTGCCAGAGCAGCTCTGCTGGCCATTGGGGGACTCCTGGGTCTGAGTCCCACTGGTCACTCTGGCAGCTGCAGGCACCAGCAGCCTTTTCCCAATGGGCTTTTAGCATAACTTTGTGGAGCCCCATGGGCCACTCAACTAGGGTCACCCCCACCTACTTACCGTATTCATTCCCAATGAGGCAGTCTGGGGATGTACGTTCCCAGGTCTGCACATACACAGGGAACGTGACCCACATAGCCTCGTGAAGGCTTCTGGCCATTTCTAAGATGGCTTCTTTGTTAGATTCTACCCTAGCTATGGGTCTCCACGGCAACCCCAGTAACATGGAACCCTGCCAGAAAAGCCAGTGCAGCAGCTGCCTGCATATGCTCCAACTGGGGCTGGGGATCGAACCTAAACCCAGGTGCATGCCCTTGTCTGGGAATCAAACCCGAGACCCTTCAGTGCACAAGCCCATGCTCTCACCACTGAGAACACCAGCCAGTGCTCATAAGAGGGCCCATGAGAGGTTCCTATGGGCCAGGCCTGGAAGTTGCGTATGTCACTCTGCTCACTCCATTGATCAGAACTGTCACATGTCCACCTGTCATTGCAAGGGAGGCTGGGAAAGTGAGTGAGTCAGGAAGAAAGGGGAGCAGGGTTGAAAAGCCTATAGCAGTGCCTGCTACGGGATTCTGTAGACTCCCCAGAGCTACGCTGTTTCATGTGGTGGCCACTAGCCACAGTCAGGACAGTGGCTCCTGTACAAGGGGAGGGCAAGGCTTCCAGACCAAGGCTTGGTCAGAGAGAGTCACATCAGGGCTTCCTATACAGGGTCAGGGGAGTGTTTCCAGAGGGCAAGTTTAGGGGTTCCTATGAACGATCAGGTCAGAGATTCCCGAAACGGGTCAAGTTACGGATTTCTGTTGGAAGTCAGGGAAAGGTTTCTGCAGAATCCAGCACTGTTATAGGCAAGGCTTCCTGTAGAGGGTCAGAGCCATGGAGCCAGCACAGGGTTAGATCAGCAAGCCCTGCACAGTGTCTGGGCAGGAGGTCCTGTGCCAGGTGAGGCTGTCGGTGCCTATATAGGATGAGGTCTGGACTTAAAGCAGGGCGTCAGGACAGGTGCCGCCCCCAGATTCAGGAAAGGTTTTCCATGTAAGTTCAAGATTGAAGTTCACATTGAGAGTTGGATCACAGGTTCCTGTGGACTCTGTGGGGTAGGGTGTGAGGTAGGGATTGTTGTGCAGAGTGACGTCAGGGGTCATTGTCAACGATGTAAGCAAGGCTCCTGAACTCAATCGGGGTTCCCAAAGAGTTTGCAGATGGGGATTTCTTTGTTTAAAATATATTTTTAAAGATTTCAGAGAGGAAGGGAGAGGAATAGAAACATCAATGGTAAGAGAGAATTTCTGCAGACAGAGTCAGAGAGGTGGTTTCAGAACTAGATTTTCAGATGAGCAGAGTGGTTGTAAAATGCTACCTGGACGGCAGGGCTGCAGTGCAGTGTGAGGACAGAGCTGTCCCGTCCAAGGTCCAGCCAGGATTCCTATAGAGATGGAGTCCCATGAAGAGGGTCAGGCCAGGCATTTCTATAAGGGTGGGTGGGGCAGGCTCTGTCCTGCCACCAGGGAAGGCGGAGGTTCCTGTGCTGTGGGGGCAGGACAGGGTGCCTCCTGTAGAAGGTGAGGACCGGCGATCCTGCTCAGGGTCAGGATGGGTTTCCTGTTGATTAGAGAAAGGGTTCCCTTAGAGCTCCAGTATCAGAGAGGCTCCTGAACCAGGCTAGGGCTGCCGTTTTGATAGGAGTTGGGGATCCGGGGCTCCTGAACACGGCAGGTCCAGGGGCCTGTCCAGCACAGGTTCTGCAAGAGGTTTCTGTTCAAGACGAGGACAGGGGCTCCCACAGGATGAGGAGGCTGGGGTTCTGTGGAGCGGCCAGGGAAGTTCTGGACAATCCCTGTCATGAGCAGGGACTACTGTGGTTCTTCAGTGGGCCAGTGTGCTGACGAGCTGAAGGGATGCTGTTCTGTGGATGCTCAACCACTGAGCCACACCAGCCGGACTAGAGTATTTTTTCAGGTGTTCATGAAGGAAAGCACCTGAGCCTTCCGCTGTTGTTGACCACAGTGAGCGCTCAGGAAACGGTGCTGCTTGCGGTTAGGAGCCTCTGGGCAGTGTGGAGGCTCCGCCACGGAGCCTGGCTCAGCCCTGTGCCACCAGCTGGGTGGCCTTGGGAGAGACGCTTAACCTGTCTGGGTTCGGATGTCACCTGACTCCGTGCATGCTCCAGTGTGAGGGTTTGTTCCATGGAAGAACACATCCCAGGTGAGTGGGTGCATTGGGGAGGGAGTGGGCACTGTGGGGAGCTCACCACCTATGGGGTCTAAATATCCCCCTAGAGATTATTTTGTCCTCCTAATCTCCCCCTCCTTCTCTACCATTTCCCACAGGGCTGCAGGCCGAGCTGGGCTGAGAGAGATAAGAGATGAGTGACAAGAGGGCCCATGGACAACCCCACGGTCCCAGACCGGCCTCTGCCCTTCTTGCTGGCTGCCTTTCCAGCCCCACTCTTGGCCTCCCATTCCTGTCCTGAACATGTCTTCTGTCCCCTGGAGGTGGGCCCCTCACTTGCACCTGTATACATATTGATACCTCCACAAGCAAGTGTACAGAGCTGCTCACGCTGTCAGCCACTCGGAGGCACTGTGACAGGGCACAGGATGTGCGATACGCTCACATACACATGCTTGCACACAAGTGCTGCCCTTGCCAGACCCACAAAGACCTCCTGACACGCAGTACCTCAGGTCACACTGCTAGGTCTCCACATCCGTCCTACACAGCCCTTGGTGAGCATCCCAGAAATGTTTATTGAGCAAATGCTGTGCCTGGTACACATGCTGTCACACCGCCTCAGAACGACCCTGCATGGTGCACAATCACATGCGCACAGCCTCACCTGTTGCCTCAGCACACCCCGTTGCACACATACCCCCACGTCCTCTCATACAGTCACTTGTGCCCCATTTCTCACAGTTGTCTGGTGTCATGCACACCATCTCTCAGAACCTCACCCCCATGGTCACCACCTCACAGAGCAGTCAGCCACCACACACAGTCTCCGCCCATGACGTGTGCACGTACACGCCGTATCATACACCCTGGTTGCTGTCACACGTGGTCTCACATACGAGTACACTCTTATACTTGCACGTCATAACCCACTATCATGAAGGGTGACACGTGCTGTCTCACACGGCTTCACGCCATCACCAAAGAACCACAGGCACCGTTGCACACCCCACCTACCACGGCTCTTTATTCAGTCCCACTCAGACTCACACCTCCAACTTCAGGACTCTGATGATTTATTTTACAAATCATTGACTGTACAACCAAGGGCTATGGGGGGCCCAGATGTTGGGTTGTAGAAACTTCTGGC